TTAATGGTGCAAAATAACAGGGTAAACACCTTGTGCTGATATCATACTCGATAGTTCTTTGAGTTCCTTGCTCAGGGCATTTAACGAATATAAGAGATTGCTTCCCTCTCTCGAGAGATGAAGCCCACATCTTATGATATAGATACCTGCTTGGATGAGGGAGCAGAAAATTTAACGCTTTAGGCTTTCCGTCGATCAAACAATCTCCACAGAGAGCACAGCAATGATAGACATTCACAATCAATAGAGCATGGGTCTGCCATGTGATTTTCTGAGAACCTGTCTTATTCATAAATATAAATAAAATAGATATAAACGGACCCTTTGAATAAAATAGCATAAATAGGATTTAAGTCCTGCACATTTTTGCACTGACGGCATATGGACATGGGTAAAAAGTACTACCATGTATTCTTATAGATTTCGATTGTGCTTCACCGCCGGAACCGGGACCCTGTAGAGGATTGTTTCGTAAATGGTTCTATAACCCAACTACAAAAGGATGTTCAGAATTCAGCTACGGTGGCTGCGGTGGAAACAAGAACAACTTTGAAACACCAGAAAGTTGTCTAAACAGCTGTCAGCGCGAGAGCCAGTTTTATAGCGGTTCGTAATGCATATCGATGGTGAAAGTATAACGTATTTTCGTAAAATCTGAATTGTTTAGAAAGCAAGAGATCCCCTCTCGGATGTTTCGAACCGCTGAAAAAGGGACACTGTCGAGGTCGCATTCCACGTTACTACTACAACGGCACGTCAGAGAAATGCGAGCTGTTTTTATACGGCGGATGTGGAGGAAACTCGAACAATTATGACACGTTCGACGACTGCTTGAAGATGTGCAAGCCAGAATGCGTTGGTCCGCCGGAGGTTGGCCGTTGCAAAGGAGCAATTCCCCGATTCTTTTATAACGCGACCAATAAAATGTGCGAGATGTTCCTTTTCGGCGGTTGTCAGGCTGGTTGGAACAACTACGAAACACCTGAGGCTTGTGAACTCAGTTGCATCTCCGCAAGTAAAAATATTATGACGATTTTGAATGCGCTCTGTGACGTGATTTAATAGGCCCCCTTTTACACTGTACATTGAATGTCATCATCAGTAGCCTGTGATCCTCTCATTCAGGCTGTTGCAACGAGGACGTTGATATCGTCAATTCGTCTATCCGAGAAGCTTAAACCGAATCCAATATCACTTTAATACAATGACAGCATTTATGCCTTGTGCTGATTATCATATTGGACAATTTGACCGCCCTGTTTCAACTTCGCTATCTTGCAATAACATTCCATACCCATGTCTGTGTTTATATTCATTACTTATTTCTTATTCCTAATCCCTTAACAGCTTTCACATCTATATTTCGCATTGACATTACAGGACTAGAAGCGCTCACTGACAAAAACGGGTCGTTTAGAACAAAAAATGTCTTCTAAGTAGGAATGCCTTCAATATTCTGAAGATGCCTGTCATAATTGTGCCCTTTTCACCTTTTTTGTTGATTTTACGAAAACTATTCTCTAACCCAATGGTCTGCTGTTTTGGCAGGCATGATATGAGTTTCATTTAAAATCAGTAACAAGCCCGAATAAAATTTCTATGCGATGACCAAAACACAGACAGACCATACATGTCATAAGCATAATTTTTAGTCAAATAGTTTCAAAACCATTTCAAAAACTATCACAAATGACTTTGATGATGTTCTAAACACATCAATGGAATTTGTTGGTGTTTTGCGATGCCTTATGCTAGTTAACTATTCCATTCTTGCATACTTCGACTATGGGGTTTCCATGATTCCTTTAGGTAAAATGTCGCAACTCGTCATCACATTTAAAACAGAATAAATGTTAACTCTTTTCAAGTTTTGTCTCTTTTTCTCATTAATGGCAACCTCACCAACTGTCATTCCTTTTGAAAAAAACTCACTGGTTCACTTTGGGGCACCAAATTGCGGCGAGAATGTGCATGTAAATTTGAAAACTGTTTCTAAAATTAAATCTGCCTACTTCAGAAATGTACGACCAAAAGATGCAGTGTTTCTTGCCACCGGAAAAAGGACCCTGCAGGGCGAGCATCCCAAAATGGTACTACGATGGTAAAACTGAAAAGTGTTTAACGTTTATATACGGCGGTTGTGGCGGAAACGGCAATAATTTCGAAACCATAAAGGAGTGCCAAGAGTGTGCCGAGTCAGTTCCAAAGACAACGCCTTTAAGTAAAGTTTGATTCATGCAATCCGAGTTGTAGCATAATCGATTTATGATCTGTAGGTGTTTCAAGCGAACACTTCTCGATCTCTAGCTGTCAGTTACCTGTCGAGCGCGGACCCTGTCGAGCAAACCTACTCAGATGGTTCTTCAACGTCGCCAGTCAGCGATGCGAAGTGTTCGCCTTTGGTGGGTGCGACGGCAATGGCAATAACTTCGAAGACAAGGAAATCTGTGAAAGTCATTGCAACGCTAAAGGTATGACCCAATAACGCAAAAGCAGCGTTACTGAAATGAAATAAATCATCGTAAATACTTCAGTAATTCATGCCAGATCTTTTAATCAGTATAATGCTAAAGCTTTCATTAATATTTAAACAGCTCAACCGGACGTATCAGCTATGATGCAGGTTCAGTCCCTCAGCGGTTATAAACTTAGTCGACACGTGACGATAAGGACAAACTACTGTAGTGTGAGAAACATTATTCGCCCACCCAACAATGCAAGATAATGCATGATCAGATTTCATGACGAAGGTAGTATCACAGATTCATCGTATTTCAGCACCTGCAGTGGCAGATGCATCTTGCCCTCAAGAAGCTCGCTGCAGCAACCTCGCGCACATCATGAACGATGTTACAGGAACTGATGTTTCTTCAATGTTACCACATCACAATCGACTCCCTAGCACATCATAATCACCACCTGATCCATTGGCACCCGCAATACCGAAATGACCACTTCTGACCATTACTGGATTGTCAAGGCCAATCCGAATATGAAACAACTAGCTTCTTCCTTGTGTAAAGCTGTTACAGCCGATCCATGCCAACTATCATGTGGAAACGTTATGCACCCATCTGTCATGACCAAACCAGTCCATCAGTCAGATGCCTCTGGTTCGCATATAATGCGGCAAAGTCTGGTCAATCTAGATTCGTCAGGGAAACTTAACGTTTAACCAGGCACTTAATATCTTCTATACTAAGAGGTCTTCCAAAATAACTGCTGCAGGTTGGATGCGGCCGAAATAGCCGAAAACTTGTATTTACACACCGCCACCATTACGAGAAGTATTGATTATGACCATCGTTAGAGTCACAATGAACAGGCCATGGTGTATAAGGTTTTACAAAGTTCCCGTTGCCGTGTTAATGATAACAGATATTCAATCCAGCATTAGCGTTGAGTAGTATAATAAGATAATGGGCCGTGTGACATATAGCGCTGCTTCTTTATCTGTGATCATTGTTGATCGGCATTCCTAACACCTTCTAAAACATCAAACAAAAAATATGCTCGATCATTGACACTGTCTGCCACAGTGCTTTCCGTTCATGTTAGAATCAGACAGTGCCATCTATGTCCTCAGCAATGCAGACATAGGCAAGAGGTGACACTTCTCTACCCAACACCAAAATCCCTGCTCACACCATTGCCAAAGTTCAAACTTCAATCTGATGATTTTCTGAATCAGTGAACATTAAAAAATCGTCATATTGAAGTCAATAAATGATATGATGATATACTATCAAACTTCGAATAACATTAATAAACATGAGATGGTCATTTCCTTTCTAATCGTTCTGTCTTGCTTTGTGAAAGAAAATATTGGTTTTTTCTGACAAACTTCTCTTATAACGAAATATATAAATTTCCATATAAACATCAAACTACTTTAACGTTTATGCGGCAGCATATAAGCAGTACTGCCTTATAAAACAAGCGCAAAGTAGTTCCAGATAACAAAATGACGCGACGTGCATCTGGCCTGAATGAGATCAAATACCACGTAACCTTGGTCTACTTCAATGGCCCTCTATGAAACTAGGAGCAAGAGCGCGTTGCTATATAAACCATTTAATTTGATCAGGAAGCGCTATTTGATCTATGAAATTTCGTACGCCGTTGCCGGTTATCACGCACCATTTTAGCTTTTCGCTTATCTTAAGAGGAATAAGCTGTAATAAATAACAACCATAACTAAGAGATTCGTTCTGATCTAAATACTACATTTTTGATCAACATCGTAAACGCATCTTTCAAAATGCTAAACATCTCCGACGGTTGTTTAATTTTGAACCTTATTTTCGAAATAACGACTGGCATATTTCAGAAACATACGACAAAAGGACCCAATGTCTCTTATCACCGGAAATGGGCCCGTGTAGGGCTAACATTCCAAAATGGTACTACGACAGTCAAGTCGGCAAATGCTTGATCTTCGTGTATGGCGGCTGTGATGGAAACGGTAACAGGTTTGAAAACAGCGAGGAATGCGAAAAACAATGCTCAGAGTCCCCGTCGAATACTACAGGTAGCATTAGATCCTTAGAGACTGTTTAGTGACTAGCAAAATCATTCTGTTTCAGAAAATCATTTTTCGATCTCCAACTGTCATCTGCCGCCTGATGCTGGACCATGTCGAGCAAACATTCTCAGGTGGTTCTTCAATGTCGTTAGCCGAAGATGCCAACCATTTTTCTATGGCGGATGCAAAGGAAACGCCAATAACTTCGACGACAAGGACACCTGTGATAGCCACTGCAATTTTAAAGGCACAGGTTCATACAAACTGAGCGTAGGACAATCAGTTTTTGAAAAACTGCAACTATTTAAGACCTTAAATTTTTCAATTTATTTTAATGTTTAATAAAGAACTTAAAAATTTATGTACTATACAAATTACTTTGACGCAAAGGTTCATAAACACACCAGTTTGCGGGCCTCTAAATAAGATGTTATGCTTTCGCATCTGTTTTCTGAATTCTTTTCGTTATTAGTGCGCAATTAATATAATTAAAAACTTTTCGAGTATTTTCTTTCCATCTTCTTCTGCCTTCTCCACTGGCCAAGTAGCATGGCCATAGGATCATTCGAGTATAATGATTAACTAGACAGCGAACGTCTGTGGTAATGTGGAATCCAGTGTGTAATTCTTGATACTCACCGGTTGTCCTTCATGCCAGTCGCATAGCTGGGCCAATGTTACGATACCTTATACGAAGCGTTATGATATCCTTATAACCAACTTTTTTCGTCACTGGCCATGCGACAGGCGTTCCGTCATAATTCTCAGTGTTGTGCCATTAGCGTTCAGCTTTCACCAAAGAACTTTTTCACTTGGTCGTTCCAACGCATTGCTGGGCGACCAAGTGGACGTCTGTTGTCGAAGGAGATCCAGTTAGTAACTCGATATCTCCACCCGGTGTCCTTCACACGAGTGACATAACCAGCCCATCGTCACTTCCAACTGTTGGTGGCAGTGAGTACCTCCAAAACTCATGCCTGACACCAAACTATCGCACTTGAAACATAGTCTTGAAGGAACTCCCTGCAAATTCTACTTTCCATCACCCATTGCGTCACTACCAGTGTATTTTCCTGTCTTAGCAGTAGACCAGCACTCTGTGGAATAAATCATTGCAGGGAGAACGGTGGAGTTCTCTCCTATGGACATGAACAGTTCGCTTTCCAAAAGCGACCTTTTGATGTGACTAACACTTCCATATGCCACCTTCTTTCCTCTGCTGGTCTCACCATTGATACTGTAATGTGAATCTATTAGGTGGCTGAGATAT